AGTACACTCGCCACACACCAGCTCTCAGTGGGGAGGAGAACAGAGAGATGTAGCCAGTTCAGAGATGGGGATTATTAGGAGGCCATGACTGGTAAAGTCCGTGGGGAAATGTGGCCAGGACACCCTTACTCTTTTCGAGAAACGCCCTGGGATTTTTAATGACTACAGAGAGTCAGGATTTCATGTCTCATCCGAAGGATGGCGCCTTTTTACAGTATAGTGTCCCCGTCACTATACTGGGGGATTAGGACCCACACAGGCCGCAGGGTTAGCGCCCCCTGCTGGCCCCACTAACACCTCTTCCAGCAGCAACCTTAGTTTTTTCCCAGGTGGTCTCCTATCCTGGTACTGACCAGGCTCACACCTGCTTAGCTTCAGAGGGATGCTAATTGTGAATTGCAGGTTGATGTGGCGATATTTGAAGCCAGTATAGAGCTGACTCATGTCGTTACAAGCTCGCTTGGGCTGAAATCCTGTAGTCACATCAGCCCTCCAGGACCATGATTTTGGCTCCCTGGATTGAAACATGAGCAGAGGTGTTGATGACGTGAAAAGGCATGTGAAATATGAGAACAGACATTGGAGAAATAAAGTCCATGGGCCCTGAAAGCACTTGCTGTTTTCCACCTGAGACTGTCCGACCGTGGGATTGCAGAAAGTCAGTTTAGAGTAAAGGAAAGGGAACATGCTCACTCATTGTACAAGCCACCTCTTACAGCCATTTACAGAGCTGAATTTTTAGGCACTAATTAAAACCCTGTGCTGCACTGATGCTCTTGTCTTGTTAGTGCTGAGATAATTAGAGGGAATCAGGGGATCTTCGAGCAGGCTGTGCATTTTGCTTTTGCTGCCTTTTTTTCCTCTCTCAGTTAAATATTGTAATCTGAGCCTTATGGAACAGTCACAGCATCTCCCAGACTGAGTTTTCAGAGTGGTGTGCACAAGGCCTTCTTTCCTTAAAACTGCAACTTTATTTTGGAGTTTGATCTAATTGGAAGATTGATTGCAAAAAAAGAGGGTAGATTCACAACACATCAGTATGAAATGAAAACATTGTTCTTCTTTTGTCAATTATACAAGGGAGCCATAGTCCAGCATGTCTAATAGGGTGCTTTTAAATCTGCGATTTGTAAAGGTGTTTTTGTAACTGGGTTCAGTGCACTGAGTGAGTTACAGAAGTGATGTGACCCTCGTCTGAAACTAGCCCTTGTAGTGGACCTGGTCCTACAGTAAGGCAGAGTTATCTGTTGTCTTGGGAGTGGTGTTGTGCATGCTCAGAGTCCGCAAACGACAGGGGTAGGATCAGGTGACCTTGTCAGACATTTGCGTGATCATTGCAATTAGAAAATTATTTTTTTTAATCAGAAATGTCTAGCTGTGCACCTTGAGTCTCACAGGTGGGCTGGTATCTTCCTTCCAGATCTCTTAACTAATTGACAGAACAGATTGTGTGTTTAAGATGTCAAAACGAAATTGTCCCAAATGCTTATAAACTGATCAATTAAGGGTGACCTATAAGCGTTGCTGGATTGTGGCTCCAAAGGGAACAAGCTGGACCAACCCTGCTCTTTACTTGGCAGATTAAACACCTTTAATGTGTTTTAAAATTAATTTCTGGGGTGGGATATTGGGTGTTATTTGTCAGGTGTCATTTAAAACAAAATCCTTTTGGTGTTTCAGGTATGGTGCCCATGCAGCCTCAGCAGCAACAGGGGTTCCCCATGGTACAAGTCATGCAGCCCAACATGCAGGGCATGATGGGAATGAACTTCGGGGCACAGTTGCCTCCTGGATCCATGCCCATTCAGGTTTGTGCTTTTCTCTGTGTGATCCTTAACCTACCGTCCCCAGCACAGGTGGAGAGAAGTAGTCTCCGGGAGTCCTGAACATAAATGCTGTGTAGAGTTCCCACTGAATTAAGAATAGGCTCTACCACAGAGTCTCCCCGTGCTCTGTGGCCTCTCGTGAGGAAGCTGTGCACCCCTGCGGGAGCTGTGGCAGTAACACGGCTGTGGTGGTTGTTGTGGCAGGGTGGCATGGCCATGGGACCCATGCAGCCGCCCGGGATGCAGTTCATGGCGCAGCCGCAGTTCATGGGCATGAGAGGGCCGGGACCCCAGTACACTGCAGACATGCAGAAGCAGATCGCAGAAGAGCACCAGTAAGCAAACCTTTCTCTTCTGCTTTTTTCCCCCCATATTTCAATTAAACATTAGAATCACCTCTGCTGAGTTTAGTATTGGCATCAAACCTGCTGGGTAGCTTGCAGCAGAGACTGATTGCTCTTAACATAAAAATTTCCATCTTTTGTCCATCTTTAATGTATCTTTTTCTAATTTCTGCGTGTGATATGCTCCTGTCTCTGTATGACGTTCTGTATGGTGCAGGAAGCAAACATTCATCTTCTCTGATCTTTTTCTAGGACAGTGATTTTTCTCGTTGCAGCTCGATAGTGTTTGCATATTCATTAGACAGTAAATTAATTAATTAATATGAGTCGGGGTTGGCTGTCTCTGCTGTGAAGGCAGTCAGGTACATCCTAGCATAAGCGCCCCACTTCCCTGCAGGAAGCGCCTGGAGCAGCAGCAGAAGATGCTGGAGGAGGACAGGAAACGGAGGCAGTTTGAGGAGCAGAAGCAGAAGCTGCGCCTGCTGAGCAGCGTCAAGCCCAAGGTATGGTGCGCGCCAGGTGCCCCACAGGGCGCCCCGTCCGTTCGCAGTGGTCACCTCACAGTCACGGTGAGATCACCACAGCGTGGCCTGTTGTCCTTTTGTGCAGATGGGAGAGAAAAGCAGGGACGATGCACTGGAAGCCATTAAGGGGAACCTGGACGGCTTCAGCCGGGATGCCAAGATGCACCCCACGCCTTCCTCGCACCCCAAGAAGCCAGGTACCTTACAATATCCGTTTTCTACACGCCAGCTCCTTGAAATAAACAAACTCACCTTTACTGTTACATGGCTGAATGTGGAGTAGGTCTTGGCGATCGACCCAGTGCTGTCTGTCTTCTGATGAGGTGTTGCAAACTTGGGATTAATTGGATAGAGTGCATTTATCTCGTATGCACCTAGATCCTTCAGAAACCTATTTTAAAAGTGCCGGCATTTATAGAACTTGAGGTTATTAATGGGAATTTTATCCACCAGCAAATCTCCAGGTTGCTCTTCTGGATGCCAAGTGTGATTCCCACACGTCGCCTCTCCTTATTTTCTGTGGTTTCCGCTGACTGGATTAATTTTACCCCTCTTCTTGTCTCGTATTCCGGCCGTTTTGCTTTTTTTTAAACACTTGCTGGAGTGGTTTGCACGGTAAATGCATAGTAGTCAAGATCTGCCTCTTCAGGTCTTTCACAGATCAGTTTACCGGGTGCCGGTTTTTCTTTTTACTTTGCTTCACTTTTAAGACAGTAGAAAGGTACTTAATTGTCACTTATTTTCCATTCTCATTGTAGTTGTATGTGTATATATGTGTGTGTGGTGCCATTATCATGATTTCTTCATTTTTGCAGAATCATCGCCATCCCACTCTTCTGTCTCTTCCCTCTCCCTCCCTTCTGCCTTCCCCGAAGACGACGACGATTTTAGTGACTTTATGCAGGGCCCGGCTGAGCCCTCTGCCTCCTTCCCTTCCTCTTTCCCCCTCGTCCCCCTCTCGTCCCCATCCCTCCGGGCAGGAGTGGGGCGCCCACCCTTGGATCAGGCCGCAGGGCACCCCACCTCCAGCCCCCCCCCTCAGTCTGTTCTTCACTCTGTGCCAGTCACGTCAGTCACCCAACGCTCTACTGTAACTGCTCCGAGCTCCCAATCTTCTTCTTTCAAAGGTAATTCTTGAATATTATTTTACTTACCAGCCCTCCAAAAAACTTCCAAGTGCTCCAAATACAAACGTCATGGTGCATTGTGTTTTCTGCTGAGGCAGGGAGCCAATGAGTGGTTTATGCATAGAAAAGTATTAGTATATTTGATGACCTGGCGAGGAAAGATGCGTCTCTCATGCTCATTTCCATTGTAAGTGCCTGATGTATTACACCCGCCTTCAGACGTCAATAATGAATGATTGCGTGCCACAGGCAAAAGAGGAGGGCGATCTGCAGCAGGGAGGAAGAAAATGCAAGCCAGAGATGAAACTATTATTTTCTGTGTTCTTGTTTGGAGTTTTAATTATTTTTCTCCCTGCAACCCCTTCAGTTGGGATTCACTGGTTGTTAAATAACAGCCTGATGTTTGTGAGCTCATTACCAAACATTCCAAACATTGCATCCCGCCCTCTCCCCTGAAACCCCCAGGATCGGAGCCTTCTGTCACTTTCCATGCTTTGGGTCCCACAAGTGTGCTCCGATGAGCTGGCATCAGTTGGATTTGTGATCCAGCCCTCTCTGATTGCTTACACAGCACACAAGATTTCTGGCAAATCACAGGGTTTCAGGTGTCTGCCCAGTTCAGGTAGCACAGGTCATGCTCACACTCACATTGTGGTACAGCGCAGTCATGAACCAGTGATGTCTGGAGTGCAGGGCTTACACTGCACTCCCAGCACATCGCTTTAGTGCCTGAGTCAAAACTATACCATTACGATCTCAGTGGAACTTTTTTCCATTCTGTTCAGGGACCTGCATCCACTTTTCACCAGAGTAAGAAAGTATTTTTACTGTTTAAGACTGTGTTACTGTAACGTGTTTAATTGTAATGCTTCCTAGCGTTACTTTTTTGTCAAAAGAAAAAAACACTAAAAATGCCTTGTGCAGTAACACAATACATGGCAGATACACCTGTTCTTGCTGTAGGGGGTCAGGATATTCAGCAAAACTCCCTGTTCTAACAAGAAGGAAGTTCTTACTAAAGGAAAAAAAATACAGTCCACTCTTTAGAACGGAGTCCTGGAGAGGTTTTTCAGATTCTCTGTGTTGGAAGCATTGCTACTTTGATCAGGTCTTGATTAATCGGGAAATTAGTTAATTAACAGTGTAAGTCCAACAGTTGTGTCCTTCCCTTCAGGCCCTTCCTTGGAAGAAAAGCTCTTTTCCTCCTGCGATTTATCCTCAGACAGCCGAGCCCAGGTTAACTTTAAGTCCCGCCAGCCCTTGGCGGAGATGAGCCCTAGAGTTCAGGTCTCGGCCCAGTTTCAGCCCAGCGCGAGAGCCCGCAACTGGGGCGTCGCCGACAGCAACCTGAGTTCCGCTTTCGCCATGGAAACGCCTTCCCAGCCGCCACACTCTCCGCCACCGCCGGCTCCCAAGGTAGCTGTAAGCCACGCCCCTCCGCCGGCGCATGAGAGCGGTGAGACACGACTTTGTGAAATGCTCTCTTTGATTAACAGCCACGTTCTGGGACAGTCCTCTGTATTAACACAAGTGCTCCGCGTCGCAGGGTTTCCTTTCGCGCGCCGCCTTTTTCTGAGCTCTCCTTTTTTATCAATGATCGATCAGCTGAGCGATGATTGAGGATTCTTCTGTTTTCAGAGAAAATTTTGTTGCCTTTTTCCCCAATAGGTCATTGTTAAAAAAACCGTTTTCGGGGCTCTGTATTATTGCTTCCTTCTTTTAACAATGCAAGCAAATTGAAATAACCTCTTACTGATGCTTTGTTTCTGCATAACCCTATCTGTGCTGTGATTCTGTTTTGGCATATGACTGGGAATATGAATAGGATTTTCACATGAACAGGTATTGAGGTATTCCAGCTTTGTGCCCCATTTGAAGAAATGCGGGGGCCTCAGATTCATCTGTAAAATCAAATATGGTGGAAGTTTTGTTATTCTCTTTCTCATTCTGTTGGGATTATTAGAGTATGTGGCTGCATTGATCTTCAGGCAAAGTATTGGCTGCCTAGGGATTAGCCACACATTAATTCTGGTGTGTGGCACCATTGTAGAAACCAAGGTTTCTGTTCCTGATAGCTGTGATAATCTTGTGATGGTCATAGTCCTGTTTCTGGGCACAAACGCTACTGGTGAAACCATGTGAGAGTGAGAGAGGAAAGCAAAATGGAAACTTGCTGAAATTTCACTTACATGCTGAATTACTTTGACAAAGGGTGAAAAACCAGTTTTACTGCTGTGATATAATTGAATTGAATGGTACCTTTTATTTTTGTAATGGTTATTTAATTTGTTGGTTTAAGCATTTTTCCCCATCTGTAATCACAATTGCAGCATGCACCATATATTCTACTGACAGTATTATTTTGCATGCTTTCTCCAGGCTATGTGCATGTCAGTAACATCTCCTACTTCAGTTGAAGAAATGCATTGAGGTGGAGGCACTGCAGTATGTTTTATGTGTCAACACTTGGATTATGAGATGATGCTTTTGCAGCATTTAAGAAATGTTTCCCATTTGCTCTGCCTGTTGCATACAGAAGATCCCCTTGTCTCAACAAAGCTGTCATACAGGACTCCTTTAGCAGCACTTGTCTGCACTTGTAACACTTCTGCCAAATTCAGCTCTTCTGTTGTCTGCTTCAGTTATACTGGGAGGGTGCTGGGATTCACTCACCCATTCCAGAGGGTCTGTATGACAAATCGTGGATGATGACTCTTGATTTTTTTTGCATGCTGCCCTTAATCGATTGTGTTTTGTTTTCATTCTCTGCTGTTGTGTCAGGCTATATAAGATCTTAGCACTCAGGTGTGCATGTAGCAGTTATTTGATTATCAGGACTGAGTTGCCTTGGAGCCTCGGGCCTGTTAAGCAATTCCTGACAGGAGCTATCAAAGCCCAGAGCAACAGGTGGCATTTGTATTGATTGCCACCTGTGGGATCCAGTCATCCATGAGCATTAACTGTGCATCTGTCAGTAGATGTTTGTCCTTGTTTCACAAAGTCCCATTTCATTATGAAATTAATAAAAAAGCTGTTTTAGATTGACAATAAAGTGGGGTGCCTCTCAATCATACCATTGTAATTGTGAAGACATACCTACAATACCATATATGCAATAAAGGCCTTTTCTGTAGTAGTTTGCTTATATAGCCATAAAACGGCATATTTTATTCCCCTTCCTAATCTCTCATTCTGAATAACTGGATGATCACTTCAGAACAGATGACTTGAGATGTAAAGCAGCAGAGCGAATGGTCCTCTGTGAATCGGTGCCAACTCTTATCATCATGAGTCACTCCACAGTCCACACTTGCTCCAGATTAAGGCCATGAGTGTAGCTGTGCATACTGATTCCTACAGCCTCCACAGAAGGACATTGTGAGCCGTGGATGCCAGGGGAGAGTGGTCCCCGCGTGGAGACGACATACTGGGCCGCGTCACAGTTGTGTCACTCTGCTGTTTCAGGTGTGGGCGTGTATCCCCAGCAAGAACATATCCAGCCCATGATGCCTGCCTGGCTCTACAATGACAGTCTTGTCCCAGGTAAAGACCCAGTTCTTGCAGTGTCTTAATCCAAATACTTGCCATCAATGCGGAACTTGTACTCTACAGTGGACATTTATTATTGCTTAGCATTTCATCATCTTCTGAAAGGTTTACAGTAGGCTTCTTTGTATCTCTTGCATGATATTTGTGATCAGTAACAGAATTAGTAATTGGTGCTCTCTGACCCTCAGTTTGAGACTAGCAGTCTCGCAGTGCTAGAGTGTAGCCCTCAGCTGAGCTTTTCTGCCATGCTTGTAACCCGCAGACCTGTACAAGAAAGTGCTGGAGATCACCATGACCCCTTCAGGGATTGACACGGCCAAGCTCTACCCCATTCTGATGTCATCGGGGCTGCCCCGGGAAGCTCTGGGACAGATATGGGCCTTAGCCAATCGCACAACCCCAGGGAAGCTGACAAAGGAGGAGCTTTACACTGTGCTGGCGATGATTGGTGTGACACAGGTGCGCTCTGATTGGCTAGTTTTGGCTAGTAAGGCCAATGTCTGTGACTTAGGTCCCTTGGTAAGGGGAATGTTTCTTATCGCTGTGTGGGAGACTGTGCCTTTGTGAGAAAGACACATCTATCATCTCTGTATGGCTTATTATAAGTGCTGGATTAGAGGCTAGGGGAGGAATGTGGGTTCTTTTTGTAATGTAAATGTAAAGAGTCCTTAGGGGCCAGCAAATGGAGCAGGACTCTTTTGTAGAATGATGAAAAAGCAGAGGAATCTCCCAGTGATATTTGTTAAAATGAAGCTTGACTTTAATGAATAATTCACTCAGAAGATAGTCTGTCTCATTTGGAAGAAAAAAACCAGAACGAAGCGGAGCCTATCACCACAGACAGAACTGGGTTGTCATTGTAATGTAGCACATTAATAAAGGGGATTAGTGAAATATAGGAACAAAGGTGAATAAGAAATATCGCCTCTCAAATTGAATGGGCTCTTTAGCAGACTCACTGTGCCAAGGCCGAAGATTTAATGGATCTTTGTCTCTGAATGCTGTTGAGATAATTTCATCTGCAGTCCTTTGTGTTTGGAGAAACAGTGGATGTGTTAACCCTAACTTTGGCTCGGCACATTGTCTGACTTTTGACCTGACTCTTGGGTGAACTCCGATGGCGATGGGCAGGTCTTCTGCCTGCGTCCCACCTCCGGGGTGTATATGGAACACACGTCTTCAGTGTGTCTGGCAGGGAGCTAATTCCCTTCTATTGTCACACTGAAAAGTCAGTCCCGTTTCTTTCCAAGAACCCAAACTCACTTCAGTAATTTTGTAGAAATCTTTTCAACAGGCCATGGGGCAAATGCATTTCATATAAATGCAGGCAAGAAAGTGGAATTTATAATTTAAACTTCTGTCTACCTCTGTTTGTTAAAGAATGTCCATGTTACATAGGCAAAAGTGCTATGAAGGGGGAGTTCAGGCAGCTTTGAATCATCACCCTTTTAGGGTTTTGCTTAGAGCTGGTATTGCTTTAAGAAAGAATGTTTTGTGATGTCATTGCCTCTGTAACATAATTTTTTTTCATTTTTTCTACCTGAAGAATGGTCTCCCAGCTATGAGCCTGGATGTATTGAGCCAGTTCCCCTCTCCCCCTGTACCCACACTACCTACACTGGCCATGCCCTCTCTTCTGCATCAGCAGCCCTTGATGTCAGTGCCCTCTGTTGCCCAGCCGACAGTCTCCATGGCAATGTCCACTGCTTCCCAAGTGATGGGCGTGTCCCTCTCTACAGCCCCACAGGGCTCCAGCTCACAGCCCACTGCAGGGTTCGTGGCTACCTTCCCCCCTGCTGCCCAGGTAATTGTGCAATTTGTGTCCTGCCACCCCTGTTTCTGGACTGAAAGGTGAAGTTATTTGTCAGGTTAGACTTACTGTGCTGCGCTGTGTGGTCACAAAGTTGAAGAAAAAGTAAAAACGGGTTGAATTTTATATTGATAAGGTTCTGCCAAATGTGAGTAATTCCATACCCATGTTTTTCACAGTTTAAAGAATGACAGAAGCTTCTTTTAATTAAAAATGGTAAGTCTTTAGGCTAAAAAAAAAAATTAGGAAGACAAACCCCACTTGAAAACTTGTTTCTGTACAAGTGTGTCATCAGTGTCAGATCTCCTTTTCCTTTGCAGAAGGATGCATTGTTTTCTTCTTTCTCAATGTGACTGTCACGGCCAAATGTCTAGAAAGCTGTCAGCACAGATGAGACAGTGTTCCTGCTGTGGACAGCGCCTAGTAACTGCATTCCGTGTTTGGAGGATTTTTTTTTGTCGAGTCCATAACTGCTTTCCTGTTGTCCAGATGACAAAACCTGATGAGGATGACTTCCAGGATTTCCAGGAAGCGCCCAAGGCAGGAATGGCGGACAACTCTTTCACCGAATTCCAGGGAGAATCCTCTGGAGCCTTTCCCAGCACCCAGCCTCAGAGCAGGTACGGGCCAGACAGCCATCAGTTCAAGTATACGCTCAGTGTTGGCTGAAGACATGCAGACAGCATTGAATCACTTTCAGTATGTACAGTTACCTGTACTCCAGAATATCACAAAGCTTTCCATTGCAGGAGACATGATACAGATTTTGAAGGATAAATTGAGATGTAATTGTCTCCTTAGCAATCACTAGAGCAGATTTATTGGCCGCGTTAAGTTGTAAATTGCCTCAATGAGCAAATTCTTGTGGTCCTACAGTGCTCCGGTGTTGCTGACCCCTGTGTCCGGATCGGCAGCATCGTCCAGCTCTGACAAGTACGCTGTGTTCAAACAGCTGTCTGTGGACCCGCCAGCAGACGCCACCCCCTCTGCTGCAGGTATAGTAACATCTGGCTCAAGCCAGCAACTGGAGGTTAGCATGTCTTTTCGCACCTGGTCAGTCTGGCTCTCATGAGCAGCGTCTGAAGTTTGTTCAAAAGGAAGAAGCATCGACTTCGCTAATCGAAGAAAGCAAGCTGAAATACTGGTATTAGTATTTAGTTTTCAGCATTGTTCATTCTTAGAAATGTTGTTTTTGAACCATAATTTTTGGAATAGTTATTTACCAAGGATGCCAGGAGCCAACATCCCATAAATAAGTTTTGGACTATGTAATTTACCATTTCATACTAATCAGTTTGTTTCTCTCCTATGTTGCAGATTTTGGAGATAAATACAGTGTTTTCAGGCAACTTGAACATCCCTCTGATTTGAAGCCAATAGGTGAGCAAAGTTTTTTAAGCTTTGTAGAGAGAAGGTAGTCAAGTACATATCAGATATTTACATATGAAACAAACTTGCCATCTTGTCTCTCTTCTGCTGTCCAAAACCATATTTTGTCTACTTTAATTTCATATTGACGAGGCATGTGACAAAGAGGGTTGTAGAAACATTGAGAAGCATGTAGGTAAAACCTTTTTAGGCATCAAATAGCTATTTTCTCCGTGTAAGATATATTGCAAATATATTTTTTTTACTTAGTAAAATTGAACATGTGGGTCATGATTTGAGAGCGAGAGAGGAGAATAGCTGTTTCATGCTCAAACGTCTCTAATTAGTAACATTGACAGAGGTGTCTTTTTCATGTCCCTGTTTTACTAGAGCAGTTTCCAAAGGGGAAAACTTTCGGGACTCCAGTAAGTTATGGTTGCAGTGACCTCCTTGGTTTTACTTGCTTGAGTTAAAAAATTATATGTATTTTGGGGTGAAGGTGATTCTTCAGGTTTTCACAAGGTTCACTTACAGCATCAGGACTGCGTGGCCACGCCTGACGTACCTGCAGCGTTTTGCACACCCCCGCACTGTGCTGCCCAATGGGGTCTGAATTCAGAGATGTAAACCTCACAGAAAAACACAATTCGGGGCTTCTGAGTGTCTGTGCTGATAAAGGCTGGACTTTTAAGAGTGCAGGATGAGCCCTGTAATCAAGTCATTGCCATTTGAAGTCTGGGTAGTGTCAGGATCTGCCCACGGCCCTGGATATCCTGTGTGGCACAGCCACATGGGTGGACAGTGACGCACATTTGGCCAAGCGCTGTGTAGGACTGACCTTCTTGGGGCCTCCACAGCTCTCCGTGGCCAGTCTCCTGTGTGTGTGTGTGCAGTGTTGTCAGGGCTGCATAGCTCCTCCAGTCAGAGCTCTCTCTTCTGCAGGCAGCTTGCAGCGTAGCAGGTGGTTTATTGCTCCTGTCTTGGGTTGTTGCCATGAACAGTAAGAATCTGAGCCTACAAAAGTCTTGGATCACAAATGAGAAGAGGCCATTTGCCCCATATAGTTTATCTAGCTGCTTCTATCTAATTGATCCTAAAGAAGATTGTTTAACAGTTGTCGATTCTACACAGACACATACAAGGAACACAAATTTACAGTTCCAGATTTTTTTAAAAGAATTTTAGGTCAAGTGTGAACTCGATATACTGAGCTAGAAGCGTTTTTTTTTTTACTGTTTTTTGGTGGGTCCTACTGCAAATCTCTTGTAGATGAGCTCCCACCATTCAAGCAGAGACACCTGCAGGCTCTGAGGAGTGTTTGCCCTTTGCCTTTTGCAGTTAGTTTGCAATGTGAGAATCTGGATTGACAGGACAAAATATAAAATGAAAAGCCTGCAGTAGTGGAAGTCAGCACAGTCTTTTAAGCAGATGAAAGAGTGTCTTCAAAGAATTCTGTTTAAAAAAAAAAGATTTGCACAATGAACACAGATGTGCATTCATCATCAGGAGCACCATGAGAAGAGGAAATTTTAATTTTTGCTTTATCATCTTCTCTGTGGGTCTAGATAATTGCTTTGGTGTCCTGCATGTATTTTTGCCTGCTTTGCCGCTTTTGTACCTCAGTGTGTGCAGTGGTGTAGTTAAATCTCATTAAATGTGCCACAGGATGCACCTCACAGCTCGTTTATCCAAGTGATTGGATCTCAAACATAGTTCAGAGACTGACCACGTGTGCTGGAAACGTGTGAGCAACAGGTGTTATTGAATGACTAAATTCTTGCTTTCCAGCGATGGTAATGGTAATAAAGTATCTCTGAATTTCTGATTATTGTATATCACAAACCAACTCTCTCTTCTGACGCATTTTCTTTTTCCAGGGGAAGGATTTGCAGATTTCAGATCGGCCAGTGCTGATGATGGCTTCACAGACTTCAAGACGGCTGACAGCGTTTCCCCACTAGATCCCCCAGAACAGACCAAAATCTTCCAGCCTGCTTTCCCTTCTCCTTTCCTGCAACAGCCTCTACAGCAGCAGCAGCAGCAGCAGCAACAACACCCAACCACCCTCTCCCAGCCCAAAACCCCTCTCAACATGACAGACCTGGACCTCTTCACTTCTCTGGCTCCTGCCGTCCCCATTACCGAGACCAAAATGCCAGCTTTCCCCTCTGCCCCCTCTCTGATAGCACCCCCTGCTGGGCAAAAGGCCCCTAGGGCAGGAGTGGATGATTTTGGTGACTTTGCTCTGTTTGGCTCCTCCACCACCACCTCCTCCTCTACAGTGTCAGCGTCTGCCCCCCTCGGGGGTGGGGCTGGCACGGCGGTCCAGGACGATTTTGCAGACTTCATGACCTTCGGCGGCTCGGCTGAGGCCAAGAGCAAGGCGAGGCCCGGCGAGAGCGGCGCGGCGGGGGGTCCCCCCGACGAGACCCTGTCGCCCCCGCCGCAGCAGCAGCAGCAGCTCCGGCAGCCCCACCTCTCCGACAAGTACGACGTCTTCAAGCAGCTCTCGCTAGAGGGCGCGCCGGGCTTCGAGGACGCCAAGGACAACGGCGGGGGCTCCTTCCTGTCCCTCAAAGGTGACGCCGACGACTTTGCCGACTTTCAGTCCTCCAAGTTCTCCACCGCCCTGGGGGCCTCGGAGAAGAGCCTGGTGGACAAGGTGGCGGCCTTCAAGCAAGCCAAAGAGGACTCGGCCTCCGTCAAGTCCCTAGACCTCCCGTCCATTGGGGGCAGCAGTGTGGGTAAGGAGGACTCGGAGGACGCGCTTTCGGTCCAGCTGGACATGAAGCTGTCGGACGTTGGTGGGGACCTGAAGCACGTGATGTCAGACAGCTCCCTCGACCTGCCCGGCTTCTCTGCCCACCAGCCCCCCGCTGCAGGTGAGGAACTCGTGCGGTTGCTCTGGTGAGGCCTGGCTAGCATGCAGGCACAGCTCTGCCCTGACCCGCCTGTATGACTGATGCTTCCTCCCACTGGGTGAACTCCCTGAGTCGTGCTGAGAATCAGCAGATGGTGTTCTGGAGTATTGAAAGTTTGCACACTTCATATCATTCCTTCATATCTGTCCCACCTTCCCATTTTCCCATCTGATTTCTGCTTCCCTTTACATGCACATTAAATTAAGTTAAATATGTATATTTAATAACTTATTTATGTGTTTATCTTTGAATAGGAAAAGGCTTCCGTCATTTATTTATTGCGTTCTCTATTAATCTTAGGCTTCACACTAATCAAGTCTCCTGTAGCGCTTGGCCTGTATCTGAAATGATAGTGTCAAATAAGACAGCAGTGTTAAGATATTTGCTGCCATTCATATGATATTCATACGTTAAAAGAAAGAAGTGCACTACCTCTCTTCTTCCTCTTAAAAATACAGTTCCTGACATATTTGTTTCAAGTCATTTCACACAAGTCTTTAAAAATCTAGATTACAGTATATGATGAGCTCATGTCATTGGACAAGCTTTATCATAGAAATAACTGTGACTCGTGCCTGTTCTTCACACTTTGGATATGTGGTTTTTGTTGCTCTGATCTGTGAGCTTGAACTATTACTGAGCTTCATCTGTCTCCTCATCAGGTAGTTAGAGCAGTGCTTCTCAGTGTTAGTCATACGTGGTCTCTTCCATCTCCTCCGGTTTCTTCTCTAGCCGTGTTCTTAATCGCAGGTGAATTTGCTTCTATTTTCTTCTACGAAGGTCAGTTTTTAAGTTTTCTTTCAGCTCTTAAAAGGTTGTACAAGGTTTGTTATTGGTATCAACCCAGTGCCAATTCTGAAGTCAGACCAGTCCTCAATCAAGTCTGTGACCTGAAATGATGAATAAAAGGGTTAATACTAATGACTAAATCCAACCGGTATCTTACAAGTCTTAATAATCAATAAGCCTGATTAAGAACTCGGCTGGAATGAACACCATTTAGCAGGTAGTGTGCTGCTCTCGCAAACAGAACATCCTTTCAACTCCAGGTGAACTCCAGAGAGTGCCTAAAACACGTCTGAAGTCTGTGACCATCTGGCCTAAATTATTCTGGCACTCTGTGTGCTTGGCTTGATTCCTTGATTATCTAATGCTTTTAATCAAAGCCAGGTTTCCCACAGACTCATAAATGTTTGGGTCTCCTCTGTTCTTGATCCCCATCAGTTTGTCTTTGCAAGTAAAAGCACAATCAATAACGACTGATCAGGTAATGATTTTCTAAGTATGTGTGACAGATCTATGAATGCAAATGCAGCCCCTCTTAGGGTATTGATTTAAAGGCAGTGGTGCTTTGTAGTTTTCTGTGAGAGTGTGCAATTCTAACTTACTCAGTTGTTACAAGCCAGGAAAGTCATTATACGCCCATAAAATTACCAAGAACAGTCATGGTACTTATAAAAACAGAACTCATTTTGTAATATTCAGAATATTAACTGTAATGGTTCATGTTTATTTAATTAGAACTATTTAGACTGAATTACTGTTGTAACATTACATAGTACAAAATTTTCATTTAAGGGTTTAAAAGTCTATCCCTTCTGCCAATTCTGAGTTATTTGACAGTTCATCTAACAACCATTACAGATTATATTCAGGTTCAACAGTTGTAAATTGGGGTTGACTATTATTGTGAAGAACAGGAAAACAAATTATCTGATTTATCTCCACTCAATACCTTAGCGCTTGATATGTTTAGTACTTGGAAAATGTTTTTTGTGGTTTTTGGAAATTAACTTAAAGAAACAAGACAGTTTAGGCTTTAACGGTGACATTAACTGACACTGAAATCTTGCAGCAGCTTTTCTGTAATCTTAAATTACCTGAGAGGGAGCCCTTTGTGTACCTTACTGATTTGGTTGCTCGCAGTTAATGAAACAGCTTCTTAAACGATCGAAGAGCATTGGTCACCACTTTGACTTCGTGGGCCTGAGGGTCTGAAATTTTGAAGACTTTCCTAATCCAAGCTGCCCACTGTGCAAGGTCTTCAAAACGAAAGTTTTTTGTTTAGTATTCTATCCTCTGTGGACCTGAAGAAGGTTAAAATCTAGGAGATAAAATGTTAAATTTTTTCCTTTCACCTAGAGGTGTCTATAGGGAGTGGTTAATCCCTCTCCTTCTTGCAGGATGTCCTGAAGAAGTCCTTTTCTTTTTCTGTTGTTCTGAATGAAACCCGACGGAGAACGTTTGTTTCTGGGTTTCACGGGGCGCTCTGAAGACAGGTCTAGAATAACAGCTTTTAAAGGGAAAATGCCACTTAAGATGCGTAATGTGTTTTTGTAGCTGGTGTAGGTCTAGAGGTTCAGAAGTGCAGACTGTCCCAGAGTAGTCAGTGAACACGCTGTACCCCTCATTCTCCCTCGGGTCCAGGGATCCCTGCTACATAGGAAGTGGAGAGCAGGGTAGAAGCCAGGGCAAAGTGTCTTTCCGGCTGAGGAGGGGAAAAGACGAAATGTCTACAGTTCAGAGAGATGTTGTAAAAAAAAAAAAAGTTCCCCCCTTTTCAAACCTCAGCTCTTGTCCAGCTCTGTTGATGGATGACTTCCGATAGCCTGTTCTCAGTGCAGAATCGGATTCAAATCGCCTCCCACATACACCATCTCCCTAGCTTTTATCAGACCTCCTCTTGGAAGTTTGTGTCTGAGGAGGAAATCTGTGTTGTGCACAAGAAAAGGTCAAGGAGAGCCTCAGGGCCTTTATCATGCCACACTACTTTACGATCTTAGACAATTATCCTCTCAAGAGGGAGACACAAGAACATACATACTAGTGCACTGTTCAATGCATATATTTGTTTTCTCACACCCCCCCCCCCACTTGTTTTCCATATGATTCGGTTATTTGTTTGTTTGCATCGTTGTTTACTGTCCTTCACATCCAGATGCTGTGCCTCATAGCCCATGTTCATGCAAGCTCATTGTTCTGTGCCTGCTTAACAGTGAGGTTTGATTTTTTTAAAAACAACCGAGTTTCAAGTTAAGCAAAAGGTTATGGCCCCTCCTTATATCTTCCTTGCATCAGAGAGCTGCAAGGAAGAAGCAGGGATCAGAAAAACACGAGATGCTTGTCTTGCCTGGATGTTGGCTGACGAGAAACCATTTAACCCTTGGGCACCTGGTCATCCCTGCATTTTTGCACAACACTGGGACGTTGCGTTCCATAGGCTCCTGCTGGGCGGCTGCAGGACAGTGGTCTTTGTGCTGATGGGCTTCGGGCTCTAACAGGTGGTAGGTTTGAAGTAATCCATCTCTCCTTGATTGCACCTGAGCGTAAAACCTTTTGTAAGCCTCCCGATTCTTGGAGCTTGTATTCAGGAGCAAAGCGCAAAGAGCCACTGGAAACCTCCTCCAGCAGTAGCCTAGGTACTGATTTTTTTTATTCAGTTGGAAGCGGAGAATGGGAGAGTAGCACAGAGCTGGCCTTCTTACAGTAAGGGCAAGAGGACAGCAGGGGGGGCTGTGCCCAAGTCCAAAAGCCTGCCCTGGTTGAAAGGGAGACCAAATTAAGACCTTAAAGTTTATTCAGTGTTAATTGGAAGCAGTTCTGAATTATACCTCTAGATTTGTCTTTAAATGCACGCTGGTGTGCACAATTCACGTTGGCCAAAAGTTCTGATCCTGCGTGAGGAAGGACCATAATTAAATAATTTAATCGTGGCGGGCCTTGTGGCGTTAAATCATGACCATGTTTTCATCTGAAAGGCCAACAGTTAATGAAACTGTCTCTTATGCTTCCTGCCTTGTAAAGTTAAAGAGACAGTATCTGTTTTTCCTGTGTGTCGCGAACTAGGATGTATAATTCAGAAGCCTTTGTCTGTCCTTTTGCACATTTTAGTTCTTAGAGGCGATTTTCATATCAGGATTAAGTCAAGTCCTGTCATACCTTGCTTCTCTTTAGAAGTGTGTTTGTTGAGCTCAGTTTGTGAAATTGACAAGAAGGTGTTTATAGCATTCTTGCAGTGATATTTTGCAGCTCGAAAACCCTGTTTTCGTCTTGCGTTTATTGTTATAAGTCCACATTTTAAGTAATTTTTATTTTGAGAGAAATGAACCTTAATTGAATATTTATGAGTATATGAGTATATTTCCTTAATAACCCTTCCTGTTCTACGTACATGAATTAATCATCATAAAATCATATGATCTAAATATTTATTAATAAGGTTTTCTGTAACCTCATCTTTTTCTCCCAAGCCTAATTTACATCCGAGTTACATGCTTTCGGTAACATTGCTTTCATACCTGGTTTAGGTTGACAAAATGTCTGTGAAAGAAAAGGGGTACTGTCTCTTTAAATTGCCGTTCTTCTGTACCACTAATTACTAATTAATTCTGAAGTGCTGTAATAGAATGCTCTTCCTGTGCAGTGTTCTTTAACCCTTTGAGAGCTTGAGTTTTGCTGAGTCTGACACTTTGGAAAATTAACAGCTTCCCTGGGAGGAATAAATCTGCCATTTAGGATCCTGAATCACTGCAAAACAAAAACAAAAATGTATGCATGAAAACCGGAATGATGTTGTCACCTTGCACCCTGATGTCAGTCAGATCTCAGGGATTTGGCAAGGATGGTCCTGTTCAGTACAAAGGTTAGGGACTGCTAAGGAAAACCAGGTTGCTACTGTAAGTTGTTGGCTGACCAGTGGAGGGGGTTGTTTCTTTTGGACAGGAATTTTCAAATCAGTACCCCGGTGTGGTGAGGGGATGGTCTGCAGCAGAAGGTGGCTGTCCTGCAGAGGACATCCTAAGCTGAGTTTCTAGTTGCATTGTAATTAAAGATCCCATGGCGCTGTTTGTAAGAGTAGGACTGTTAACCCTGATGTCCTCCATAAATTCCTGTTTGGGGTTTCATAATCTGGCCTCCCTAAAGTTCTTGCTTAATTCAATTGGAGTGAAGTAATTTCTCAC